CCAGTCCATTGGTGTAGAAGTAAAACATACGTTATTAGATGTAGGTATAGTTGCATTTGAACAATGATATATAGTTATTAACCTGTAACAAGGGCGGAAAGTTATACTTTCCCGCACGCAACGGCATTTGCACGACCGACGAGCCAGCGGAATTCGTGCAAGCCGCAAGTGCGGAAAATATACTTTATGCTCGTGTCAGGCCCATTTTTTCTACACGGAAAAAAATGCAATTCTATATCCAAGAGTAGTAATATACTTATAATTTTATATTTGATCCAGTAATAATTTACTTAGTAAAACAATATTTTATTATACATTGAAATATTTGCTTAATGTTATTTTGAAATTCTTTAAATATTCATCTCAATTATTTTTCATTTAAATCAAGAATAAAAAATATATCTTATCAAATATAGGTTTGTTCTTAATGTAATGTTGAAATAATTTCTCGTTTGAAATACCTATAGTTTGAAGAGAGTATATTATTCTTAAATGAAATGCATGTTTGTTTCAACCTGCCTTCTAGTCGCCTTTGTGCTTTGCTTCGCGTTGCGTTCTCTCCCATTCATTCCATTGAACATGAAGTTGAAGTTTGATTGAAGGGACGCCGAAGGACGCCACGCGACGCTACCTGTGTTTTTACAGTGTTTTTCGTGATAAAATGGATTTTGTGTTGAAGAAATGGGATTTGGAATGTTTAATTCCAATATTTGAAGGTAAGTTTCACTTTTCCTCCTCAATTTCCGGGGAAAAATAATCAAAAAATTAGTAGGCATAGTTGGCGTGGGTGGCCATCATTTAGGTAAGAACTTAAACCGCGTGTTATCTTTCATCATGTAGAAGTACCTTATCGAATCTATTTGCCTTTTGCTTTAGGATAAATTGTTGACAAAGTGTCTATAAAAACATTATTTTTAATTTTAGGAAATGAAATTGACTTGGACAATGGTTAAACATAAATGATGAACAAAGTAAAGAGCGAATTCCCAAAATGGAGGTTAGATTAAAATTGGCCAAGAAAATGAATCGGTACAAAAATGGCGTTAAAAGTGAAGAAAATGCAGCATCTATAACGGATTTTCCCAACCTTCCAGTGGTATGTGAATAATTAATAAATAAATGTACCTATCTATGATTGTTATTGTACTTATATTACAATTAAATTTTTTGTTATTATTCCATCAGTTTATACCTTTATATATTATATCAATTTTTAAAACAAGAATTTGAAGAATAAAATATACTTCAGAGTAAACTGTGTTTCAATATTAATGGTAAGTACACGAGTAGTTAAAACAATAAGAGGTTATTTTTGAAGTAAGAATAAGAAATATTTGGAAATAAATTGTAGTTTTTGTGATAACTATAAGTAATTTTTCGAATAAGAATAACAATACTTGATCAATAAATCTACCTTATTCTTGAAAGAATTACTAGGCTATTCTCGAATTTGACACTACCGTATTCTGGATATAAGTTGAACTTATTTTCAATTCTTAAGAATAGGGCAATACTAGAATTAAATATTATATTTTCTTGTGGAATAGTGAAACGAATATATTCTTGGGCAAACGCTTCTATTCTTAAATATAGTGGAGTGTTTTTTCCGTGTATGAGCGTGTGAAAAACGCGTCTTCGCGCAACGATTTGCGTGCGGAAAGTAGCACATTTTCACACCTCGTAAAAAAACATGCACGTAGAAAGACAAATATCGCCAACGCGCCAGCTGATTTTTTGCTCCGTACAGTGACGTCACAAGCGGTACTCTCGCCGCAGGGGGTCGTTTTGTTAGCCTCGCTAATTTCGTTTTTTTGTTTTCGATTTATCAGAAAAAATAGAGGGTTTCTAGATGTTCTAACGCTTAATACGTGTTTTGTGGACCTAAAACCACCACTTTTTATTACAATTGAAAAATAGTTGAACATCCCTATTCTGAGCTATATAATTTTCAATGGACAGCAAGGCTAGATCAGAAAGTTTGTCTTCTGATAGAATTGACTTAAGGTACGTTTTAATTATGTTGAGTTTGACCGCTAAGCTTACTATTAAGCTCCGTTCACCTTTCGCCACAAGAATGGCTACAAAAATACGGAGAGCTGTACAGATATTAGGAAACGTATATTGCCAATAATTATCCAATGCTAAGTTCTGGAGTACTACTTTTGGGTGACCTTTATCACTCTAAGAACTTCTTGAAAGACATAGACATAATTTTTTTTTCAGGGCTAGTTTGTTCATCTTTTTTTAAGGTGTCAGGTAATGCAATCTGACGAATAAAAACGCAATCTGCATTCTTATTGGTCCGCGTTATCCGTCGACCAATAGAATTATAGATCGCTGAATTTATCTTGCAAATAGTTACCAGCAAATTCACCTTGGAAATCAAAAAACCGGGCCTTTAAACGTTCTTAATCCCGAAATATTGTGATTATGATCATGTAGGAGCAAGCCCACGTACGCAACCTCTGCGCGTCTTAAGACAACGTCGCGACAGGTTATTCTTGTGGGATTCACATACTAACTACACGCATGCTCGCAAGAAGAATAGCAGATAGCAGAATATCGAAAAGCAAGACAGGATTCAAAGCGAAAATATATTTTTCTCTTTTTTTTTATCACCAAGGACTCCAAGGACCGAATCGGAGGCGCCCCCCGAAGTCTGGCGCCTGGAGCGCTCGCTCAGTTCGCCTTATGGTAGGGCCATAGACTAATATATATAGGGGGTAAATAGACTGGACTCTCCAATGTTGACATATCATGTCGTATTTTAGCGCCCTCTGCTGACTGAGAGTGAACTATAAATACTAGTTCGGTCATTCTCCGAAAGATGGCACTTTGTTATCGATAGTTCACTGTAATTTTTACAGTAACTTGACAACCCTCTTCAAACTGTGGCGACAATGGAGGTCCCGCCGCCATATTCCTGCAAATTTTTGATATGAATAATAGGAAATAAATGAATATCCCCTCAGATATCCATATCTATCATAAAAAATTAAAAATAACGTATTCAAATTTTAGTCAGAGAAATACGTTACCTTCAAATTTTGATGATAGATATTCATTTATATTCAATAATTCCCATGTATTCATATTTGAAATTTCAAAAATATGGCGACGGGGCCTCTATTCATTTTTGCCACTGTTTGCAGAGGTTTGTCACAGAACAAGATAATTTAAATTCAAATTTTGAAACACATTTGAAATGTCGAATGAACGATGTTTTGTGGAATGAACGACAAAACCAAATGACAATGACATTTCCGATGAAGGATTCGGTATTTGTTTCATTTTCGTTTTCATAACCTCTGTTTTATGAGACCAGCAGAGCCATCTGCGGTCACGAGTGATCTAAAAAAGCTGGCTCAAAGCGGTAATATGAGTGCGCGGAGCATGGGTAGGGCCGGCCCTGTGTCAAAATTAATATGACAAGAATTTGGTTAAACGTCTGGTATTGGTGGCATTTGTCAAAATTTGCTGCGTTGCATTTTGTTTTTCCCATGGCGGCAAATCAATATTTTAATTTGCGTCTAAAGATACCACATAGGAAGTTCAGATAGATTCGTGCTTTTTGGTTCAAATTTTCCATTTTTTGGTATAAAATAAATTCTTGAGAGATGGAGACGTTCAATGAAGAAATATTTGAAGCAGGAAATGCAGCAGACGGCTCTTTGATTCCACAAAAATCCCAGGACCGATACAATGAAGAATATGAACAATTACCAACGTATTATTAAAAGAGTGCGGTAAAGAATTTTTACAGCACTGAGTGCGGTGAAGAATTTTTACCTACGAGCGTGCGGTAAAGTGCACTTTACCGCACGTATTTGCAAATGGAAAGTATCACTTTACCGCACACTATGCGGTAAAGTGCACTTTACCGCATAGTGTGCGGTAAAGTCAACTTTACAGAGCTACGCGTCGTTCGGTGAACGGCAGCCGCGTGCGGAAAAATTCATTTTCCGCACTTGTTAGGTAAATAGCTATTACAGTATCTGTCAAACTATCTGCTGTTTCACCATTATAGGACATATTGCTGGTACTTCAAATGACTTATTTTTTTGATGTACAATTTTTCAGAAAGCTCTATTGTCATCTACTATTGAGTCTTCTACTAAGGAAATGTAATCGCTATAGCAGTTATTTGTTAACTCTTTACATGCTGTTCTCAGCTGAGCAAACACACTATAGTTTGCTCCTGTATTTGATTTTTTTTATTTCTTATGGGCAATTTTCTTATTAAATATGAGTTCTACTGCCTGCGATCCATACTCGTCATTGATCCAGTGCACATTTGGTAAGTTGAAATCTCCACCCATGATAATATTAGTACATTGGTGTTCTTTGATCATAGACTCCACACATAGATAGTAAGTTTCAAACAGTTCTACAGATAACTGCGGTGGTAGATAGACAGCTCCCAAAAGTGGTGTAAACTTACCCACCAAGATTACAACAAATATATGCTTGCTTAGATGCTATAGAGGACTCTATCGCAATCATACTACCCCCTCCACGTTCACTATTACTAGTTTGTGATGATCTATCACAGCGATAAATTACGAAATCATTCATGCCTAGTTCAGCATCACAAATTCCATGGTATTATTGAAAACAGATAAATGGCAAAATGGATGGATGGATAAAAAAAAAAAAATCTGAAATGTAAAAACAACCCCAATTCTCAAAATTATTGAAAATTTGACATAAGAATCTTGTGAAGCTTCTAAATCCTAGGAATATATCTATGTCAGTTTATATTAACATGATTTTTAGGATTTTAGTATCTAATTTTAGAAATAATGACAAATTCCTATAAATGTGTGACCGTAAATAATATTTTTACAATAATAATTAAAGCTTTATAAACATCCCTAATCTTGTGCTTCTCAGTAAATCAAATGAGAAAATAGCGCGTCTATAAGTATATAAGCTACCGAAATCTTGAGTATCCACACAGTTGAATTTATTCACCTATACCAATTGCAAGTTTATTTAAAATGAAATTTTTAATTGTACTTGCTTTTCTATCGTTGATGTGTATGTTTGGTAATAGTGCTCCTGGTGCTGAGTATATTAATGGTGCAGTGATGATGCAGTATCCCGATGTAGAACTAACCACTGAAACTGTTACAACTGAAAACCTTGATCCTACAAGTGAAGGTTATGGAGATTCTGAAGGAACTTCAACTGAAACTGGAGAACCTGAATCAACTACCCAAGGATCAGAAACTGGTACATGGAATTAGTAATTAGCAGTTTTTGAAATAAGCAGACAATGCATGACATTATAAAAATTCTAAAGCTGAAGAATTATTAGAAAGTAAATACACAAATGAGATTGTATTTATTGGATTTATTATAAAATGTATCACAGAAATATGAACTTTATTGATTTGAGCTAAGTTGAGTTTTTGTTCTTAAATACAAAAATAAATAACTTTGTTCAATAATTTTTGAGTACTTGAAATGTTTCAATGTATGTCCTCTGGCTTATTGAGTTAACCTTGGAGTTAACGCAAAAATAGAAAAGTATTTTAATTTCCAGTTTTGCCTCAAATTTTTCATACTTTTTCATTAGTTTCAGATCTCAGGTATGTGATCATAACTCCACCCTGCGTTATGTGTAAAGTTATAAGGGTAGCTTTTTTATAAAAAATAAACACTGAAGAAAAAAAATTGACATTTCAGACCACAATGCTACTTAAAGTTTAATAAAAATAAGCGTTTAGCAGAACAAGGGGATTGCATAGGGCATTCAGAAACCGTCAAACACCAACTGAAAATTCTTTTGTGAATGTATTTAATTAACTAAAAAACTCAGAAACTTAACAGAGGTAAAATGCTAATCATAGCGTGAACGAAAATGCAGAGCCTAATGTTTTATTATGTTTCCAAGGATTAAACTTATAGTACATGAGAGGAAACTTGACGGCGGGTGAAAGATACCTAAAATTTTTAGCCAATGAAAGGAAGAATATTTGGAAGAAATCCCTTTACCTCAAATTGAACAGGCTGATTTGGCAACAGGATGGGGTTCTCCCACTTAATATTGAAAATGTAACAAATTATTTGAATGATAAATATCCTACATAGATAGGAAGATATTGGGAATATCACATGGCCATCAAACAGACCACACTTTACTTGGATTTTTGGGGTACGGGTACGATTAAGGGCAGTCTTTTTGACAACAATAATAGTTTTCCAAAAACTCCTTGTGGAGGCAGTGCAGACATCAATAAATGTCATAAAAGACACGATCCAGTCATGGTGTATGATGCAGTCAAAATTTTCGAAGGTTCTTATCAAAGCTGGGTTCAAGAGAATCGAGGCCATTCATTAACTAATTAATTCTCTTATGTCATTGAGTTGAATCGTATCATTAAAATTGATTGTTTTAGGTTTTGTTGTTTTATTTAAATACATACCTAAATTGAAATTTTTCAATTCACATCAATATTTCAGAAATAGTTGAAGATATGTAGGTATAGGTATTGAATACATAAAAGAATTTTCTGAAGAATCTAAAAATATAATAATATACAGGATCTCCTTTTGAAAAAAGTATCATTGTTCTTTATGGAACACCCTGCATACCCCAAGACCAACATTTTTTAGCGCATTTTAATTAAAACATCAAATAAAAAAGTTATCTATTGGTCAAAATGTGGCCAATGACCCTGTTAAAAAAAGTCATTAAAAAATATATTGTATTTTCTTAGCAACAAAAACATTCAAGCCATGCACTAATTTACTTTATTGCAAAATAATTGAAGAGTGCATGGTTATTAGGCACGAAAATGATCCAATAACAAAACAAGAGGAAATGCATTTCCGACAGTAATATTTTTTGCGGAAATTGATAATAAGGAGATTCTTCAGTTTTTGGTTCAAGGAACTAAAATGTAATACAAAACTTTCCCACCGAACAAACATGCAAAATTCAAGGAATAATATTTTTTTTTTCCTTAATTGTTATTAATAACCGATTTATTTACATTCACACGGCCTGGTGGTACTCTATCTAGCAGCATATAATTAACAAAGGTGTTTTAGAAAAGTATTAAATACGCATTTCGAAATGTTAAGGTCAAATTAAATATTATTCTTTATCGACTTTAATGAGTAACAATAAAATCCGGAATCAAGTTTCATTCATGAGATTTATCATTTTGTGTCGGTCATACACAGTATTTTATTCAAACCGCAAAATATCAGTCGGAAATCTTCAAACAGTTTCTATTAAACGATTGTAGACTGACCAAATAGGCGACTTTGGCACATCCGAGATCTAAAATGATTTATTGCTTTATTGTTGATGGCGAATTTCCTGACCTCTTGGAACCTATAATAGAATTGCATTAGATGAATTTTAACTAATATAAAATAATTAGATAGTCTAGTCACAGTAGTTAGAAATGATTGGAGTTTAAAATGTAACTATTTTTCGTTTTTCCGCCAATCAGCAATCAATTTGTTTATTTTTCTCCAATGCACTGATAATGGCTGAGATAATATTGAGGTGAACTGTGGAATGTGACCGTTTCCTGTCGATAGGGCCTTCAGGCGGTAAATTCCGTATATGGCCAGCAAATCGACCATTTGTATGTGTTCGACGTTCCGATTCCATTCACCTCCCTGTTGTGGTAGGTATACTCATGGGGCCGTAGTAGCAAAGTCTGTAGTAGGTACCAGCTCTAAGATGCTGCTAGAATCTTTTATATAACCGTCACCTTGTTTTTATTGGTAGAAAATACTTTTATGAAAAATGAGCTGATCTGGTGGGCATATTCTTGTTACGGAAATTACTTTAATTTATAATTATTCAATGTCTGATGATCCATGATTTTCATTTTAATCAGATATAGTGACAAATGTTCATATTATAGGTATAATTTGAACACATCTCCATCTCAAGCTTTTCGAGACAGTACTTTATAATATCATGGATTTACAAAGAGAAAATCACCCATTAGGATAATTTATCAAGAACTACTCGTAAAAATGTTGTGATTTACTTCTTGATAATTGATATATTAAAAATTCATTCATATTATTCGGAAATCGTGTTAACGAATCATTTGATTGCAATTATAACATAGAAACAGTTAATTAGAATAAACATCTAAAGTTTCTGGGCACTGAAATTAATTACTTAATGCGGCTAGACTGGAAAGTACATGTTGGGGATGTTGTTAGTAGTAGGTACACATATCAAGATACAGTTATAATTATTTCTCTGGATATATGAACTGGAGCGAATCTTGGTGATGCAGTAAAAAATACTCGAAAAAATAAAAGATCATAAAAATGAAAACCCATCTTTTAAGCTAGTAAAATTTTACACAGAAAATGTCGTGGAAGATTCTTGATATTCTAGACAATTCTGAATTGAAAATTCTTTCTAGTTATTTCTAGCAAAGTAAATCTGATTCAATTTATTGTGTTGTAAAGTAAGTTTAGAATTGTGTGAGAGTTGACTTTTCAATCCTCGTAACTACTTTCTCCTCTTTTCACTGTGGGTTTAAAGTAGGAAAAAAATAAAATTGCGATATTAAATCTTGATTCTTATACATACTTTATTCCTCTATTTGCTTGAGCCTTGTCTGAGCAAAGCATTCAACTGTATATCTCATAATTCCTTCATAAGCTTCAGTTCTACAGTTTTATTGGAGAAATCATCAATTTTCTAAAAACTTGAATGCAAGGTGTTGGTTTGGTATGGTGGTGACTTTGTTGCGAAACGGGGTGAAAATTAGGGTTCCAAGGGTCAGTCTTTGACCTCCCCTAATCTATACTATACAAAAAATGATACAGATCACACTACTGTGACTTTCATTTACTGGAAAGGGCTCAGAGAGATATTTATGATATTCAAGAAAGTAAGAATCAAAAAAAGGACATATTCTTGAAAAACACCTGTATAGCAAGGGTCAAAAGAGTCGGGGTACAAATAGATCATTGTAAAAGGGTTTTTGACTTGCAGAGGCCGTCAAGATTCTGGCAAGGGTAGGGTACTGGAAAGTCTAGGAAAAGATATCTATGACTCCAATTTAGGTTGCTTTCTTATAAACGCAAACCTTAAAACAATTTTGGATAATTTCAGATTGAAAAAAAGTGAAAAATTGCAGAAAGTTTCGTATTTTGAGTCAAAAATACGTATATGAAAGGAGTTTTATGACTGTTATCTTCAATTCAGGTTCTTTCGTTAAGGGTATTGAATACGCCATTTTAAATATATTGTAACGCACGTCGAACTATACGACTACCCAACAAGTTAATACTAATAAAGATGCGAGGTTCATCGCGATTATTGCATTGGGCTACTGTTGGGCCGGTTGACGCTGGATCCTTCATGATAGCGATTTAAAATTTATCGCAAAACAGGCGGAGGAAAGAGCCATAGGGTTTGTTATAACAGAGACAGGCAAAATGACAAGTTCACGCAAAGACCCGCTTAATAACGTAACACGTTACACGCTATTTTTGGTGAAAAGAAACTGCGCATGGTACACACCTGTCAAATCCTACGTTAACGTTAACGTGTTTTGTCTAACTTAAAGTGTCCAATATTAGAGACTTTTTGCACCCTTTAAAATAACAGCAGTTTTTGGATCAGTTATGGTTACCTTTATCGACGATAACGATTACCACGACCTGCATATACCATCAGAAGAGGTCTGCTACAATGACCTGTTGCGGTTGCTGGGTCTTTCTAGTTTAGAGGCACGTAGAAGGAATTATGATATTTGTTTACTTTTCAAGTTGCTTAATAACTTAATTGACTGTCCCCCTTTGTTGAACAGCATTTCCCTGCGTGCCCCTGTGAGACAGACTAGGCAAGTGCATCTTTTTCATAGCGAGTATCATAGGACTAATTATGGTTTTTTCTGCCCTATGGCTAGAATATGCAGAGAAGCTAATCAGCTACCCAACAATTTTGATTTTTTTGGCATGTCTCTGAAAACTTGTAAACATTTGTTAAATAGTCTGCAGCGCTAAATGTCAGTGTATTTATATGTACCGTAAATGTTAAATTTTAAGTTCTTGTGTTTTTCGTTAATATTATAACGTCATATATTTTTGTATTATGTTATTTACTGTAAATGGCTTGTCCGTTAATAAAAGTTTATTTATTTATTTATTTATTTATTCAAAACTGGAGATTTTGCAACGTCAAAAGTTTACATATTTCTGTTATTTCATTTTGCCTCTAGGCCATGAACTGCGCCTGCGCCTTCGGATG